TGATGCATTTGGTGCCTGGAAATCTGTCTATACTTTCTTAAAGCCTCCACAGCCTTATATGGTAGAGATTATCACAAGTTCACCATCCTCTGGGAAGAAATTTCTCCTCATCTCAGTCTGAAATGGCTTGATGCAACTCCCGAGACCATAGCTCCTTGATCCAGACCTTCACCACCACCACTAATCCCCACCCACAAGAGAGGTGGAACATCATCCCCACATCCAGTCTGTCCAGACCTGTCAGAATTATATACGTTTCAACGAGGTCCTCTGTCATTCTTCAAGATTCCAGTGAGTACAGGCCTGGTGTACCTTTTGTTAAGTATGGAGACCAAAACTGGAAACAGTAATCCAGGTATGGTCTCACTAAGGCCCTGTACAGCAAAGCTAATCTCCTTGCTGCTGTGTTCAAATTAATAAAGGAGAGAACAAAAGCCAACATATCATTCAATATGCTTGCATGCTTGCTTTCAGTGCATTTTTCAATCTATCACTGTTTAAACAACACTCTGCTATTCCATGGTACCTACTGAATTGGATGACTTCATATTGATCCATGTTATATTGCATCTGCTATGCATTTGTGCACTCACAGCTTGTCCAAATGACCTGGAAGCCTCTTTACTTCCTCCTTGCTAGTCTCAGTTCCTTCTGCTTTTTGTCATCAGCAAATTTAGAAATATTAAATTTGATTCCCTCATCCAAAACCTTCATACATATTGTGAATAGCTGGAGTCCAGACACTGAACCTTGCAGTACCCCACTAATCACCACCTTCCACTGTCTACCAATCAATTCTCAATCCATTCCAGTACTTTATTCCTAATCCATGTGCTTTAATCTTGCATACATAGCTCTTGAGGAAGATTTTATCAAAAGCTTTCTGAAAATTCAAATATATCCACTGTTTCTCTTTTACCTATTCTACTAGTTACATTCTCAAAAAACTCTAATAAGTTTGTCAAACTTTATTTCCCTTTGATAAGCCTTTCCATACAAGTCCATAAATCCCCAAAGGTGTAGGTACAGGTATATAGAGTGATGCAGAGTGGGATGGGATAGAATATAGCAGCAAGGAAGTCTTGTTGCAAGTGGTTAGCATTGGTTAGGCCACAGATGGAATACTTTTATGCAGTTCTGGTCACCACACTAATGGAAAGATGTGATTTCACTGGAGATGGTGCAGAGGAAATTTGCCAGGATTTTGACTGAGCTGGGTAATATCAGTTATGAGGAGAGACTGAATGGGCTGAGTTTGTTTTTGCTGCGCAGAGGAGGCTGAGGAGGGATCTCTGAAGAGGGATCTATGAAAAATAATAAGAGGCATAGATAGGTTAGATTGTGTGTGTATATGCATGAGAGAAAGAGTGTGTGTGTGAGAGTGAGAGTGTGAGTGTGTGTGTGAGAGTGTGTGTGTGATGTGAGTGTGTGTGAGTGTGAGAGTGGTGTGTGAGTGTGAGAGTCAGTGTGTGTGAGTGTGAGTGTGGAGAATGTGTGTGGAAGTGTGTGAATGTGGGAGTGAATGTTTGTCAGTGAGTATGAGGGTGTGTGTATGAGAGTATTTGTGTGTGTGTG